TCCTTACACTCAGCAAAAATCTCAGGCACACTCTATACAAAATAATTACAAATACTGTCAAAAATTGACCAGCAGGAGTTTCTGTAAGGTCAAGATATTTTTTTAATATTCTTTTTACTAAAACTCAAATCAAGTACAATCGGAAATTATCTATGCAAAATGCAATTTTGTTTATTCCTGAATTTCCTAAATGAATATCGAAAATGTGCACTTCACAGCTTGTCGATTTTTTAACGAGAAGTTTACGGATTTTAATACTTTTTTAAGCGTGAATTTTAATTTTATTTAATAATATCGAAGAATAAAATCTAGTCGTAATTTTAAAGAACAATATTTTAGTTGACCGGCTTATTTCTTGAAGTGTATTTTGGGTATTTTTTTTCTCATCATTTCTGTTTTCTACGTTTTCATATTGGAGCATTGAGCAGAGCAGGAGCTAACGGTGGAAGGGGGGGGGAGCTGACTGAAGACCTAACCGGGAACTAAGAATGGGGGCTGGCTTTGGGTCTGGGGTTCGTTCCGGGCATTGTTCTTGTGCCGCCATGAAAATTAATGAAGAAGTGCCCGACCCATGTTCCAACCGGTCCTAAAACTCCGCTCGGTCCCAGAGTCTGACTGACATGCCCAGTCCCCAGACGCGGCCAGGAGGGGTATGTGTGCTAGGTTGGGGTGCAAGGGGAGGGCAGTGGCACCCCGAGCTCCATTTGTCGTTTTGTTTTTGTGCCTTTAACTTATAAGGGTGCGTATCGTATTCTTGTCCAACTTTTGCGCTTGTCTGAAGCAAGCCAAGAAATGATTGTTATTATTTTGAATATTTTTTTCTAAGCTCCCGACATTAATGTGGACATTTAAATGATTCTGAACACTTCGGGAAAGCGATTTGTTAGATTTTCATTTTTCTGTGTGCAAATTTTTTAAAATACAAACTAAAAAAAGTTTACAACGGTTAAATGATCGCTTGCAGCTTTGACAAAATGCTTCTATCACACATAGAAATATATTTATCAGCTGTTTATTAAAATAGAAAAACACGTTTTCGATCTCATGAGGTTTATACATACATTAGCTTTTTAACGAGGAGACTTTGATTCTGTGAAAAATGTAAGAACGGTCTCAAGTGATTTTTCTTATGGATCCTTGCAAATGGATTTTCCAAAAAGTGCCAAACACACCTCAAATGAAAGATCTTTGAAAATGGGTTTGAGCCAGATCGGATGGTAAACAAAAATGTTTTATTAAAACGATCCCGGAATCATGTCTCACCGTAAACCTTCATCACATAAGGAAATTCCAATGAAAATTTCAGCTCCCTAGCTCTTACGGTTTGGGCTGTGCGTTGATCACCAATCAGTCAGTCAGTGAGTCAATCAGTCATTTTAATGCTTGAATTAAGCGAAAAAACTTTTCAATGGAAGCACAAATGAAATTCTTAAAAATTCATTAAGTTCATAAATTTGTTTTTTTGTATAGAAATTTCCAACTTTTAGCAACGATTAAACTTGTTCTGTGTAGAGAATTACAAAACATAATTATTCTTTCAGGAATTAAAAAAAAAATGTAAGCTTTATATATTATTCATTTGATTTTTCGCCTTAAGTTCTGTAGCTTTGCTTTCTTTTCTATTTCTTTTTGGTTTTTCTTATGGAGTATCTAGCTAATTAGATCTTTGCTGGCATTGCATATTGGATAGACTTTAATTTCCACTCATGGGCTATACTCAAAATAAAAAAAAAAAAAAATAGATGAAAAAATAGAAAATAAAGGGTGCTGCCCATTTTGGTCGGGCCACAGACAATGTCTACGAACGAGACAGATAAAATGGCAAACGGCAAGAGTAGAAAAAAAAAGGAAACACAAAAAAACAAAAGGCGAATGTTTAAAACGAGAAGCGATTTGAGCAAACAAACGGCGCATTGGGTAAGCCAAGCCCGGCGGGTAGTCGACCGACTCACAAAAAGGACACACACGGTCAACTGGGTGTGTGTGTGTGTGTGTGTGTGTCTCCATGTGCGTGTGTGTGTACAGGTGTGTGCAGCTGTGCGCTGAGAGCTGTCCACGTTTAGAGGTGCCTGCCGTTCCGTTTGGTGTTGCCAGCTCTTCTTTTTTTTCGGCTGGCATACTCGTACAACGTACGCTAGGTGGCGCCAGACGTGACGCGACGCCAACAGATGTGGAGTGTGAGGTGCTGGGTGCGGGGTGCGGGGTGCGGGAGCGGTGTTTGGGACACTGTTGACGACGCCTTTGCTTTTAGCTTGATTGCCAAGCCTAGTTAACTGTAAAGTTTTATAACTTTGCCCAGCTCAGCCAGCGCCCCGCAGACCAGCACCCTACACCCTACACCCTGCATCCTGCACCCTGTGCCACCACACCATCCACCACCCACCACCGCCTTGCGGGCGTTAAAATCGCTTGGTTTATTACACGCGCCAACGCAGCCCTTGGTGGAACTCGCCGCCCACAGATTGTCCCGTCCTTAACGGCCACGACGTCACTCGACCCTTTTAAAAAGTCGTCAATACTTGGCATGTAACCCCCTTACAGTCCTGCCCCGCGTTGACCCACCACCCTCCCTCCTACCCCTCCACCACCTACATGTCGTGAGCGATTCGTGTGCCGTGCAACGGCCTCTGAACTTTGCCAGCAACGAGGGCATTCGAAGGACGAGGCACGAGGCACAGACCGACGCCCAGGCGTCTATCAAATTCCAATTTCGGTCCCTTTTTTATACCCTGTACCTGTACTGAAAGGGGATACTAAGAGGGTATGTCGATGTAACAGGTAGAAGAAGGCATCCCCAAACTTATAAGATACCCCATTTCCGATCTAGTCGTAAATTTCAGTCTGGCAATATGCAGATTATTGTCTAAGACTTAGATTATTTTAAATTGTTATTTGATCGATGTTTATTGATAGCTTCTAGTTTAATTTGATATATGATAATTCATATAACATAAATAAAAGAGACTTTACTTTTTATAGCCAATATCTATAAGGCGGAAAAACTACTTTTTGAAGTGCGAGTCTTGATATTTGGGATAGACACACGGCTTAAGTTTTAAGCCTTGAAAAGCAAGGCATCTACTAGTCGGATACTCTAGAATAAGCGCACTCTGACTCGTTATTTTTTCTGCCTCTACCGGCATTCAAAGTTTATGGCGTCTTTTTAGCGTAAATCCTGCATGGGTAACCGGTAACCCGTGCATCTAACCTCATGCCCAGCCCGCCCGCCCGACAATGTGCACCCTTTTCGGTTCGTCCGGCCGACAGTGTGACCGCCACTGGACCATGGCCATGTCTGCCCGAGACAGAGAGAGCATCTTCAATATCCTTTTTAGCACGGTTCGTGGACCTGGGATGTGTTGGTGGCTTTGCCATCTAACTCCCACACATACAAAGTCGAAACTTTAATACAAGTTGATTTTTTTGCCCAATTTTTTGTCGCTCATCATATTATCCAAGTTCTTGTTGGTTTTGTATACGAGAGTGCGTCATATTTGTATTATTTCAGTGTTTGATTTGTATACCCTAACGGAGAGCAGATTGTAAAGAGCTCGCAGTCTTTAAACTACCATTCTTTTGAAAAATATTTATAAACTATTGGGAAACTAATATTTTCATCGTAGTTACCTTATGTTATGAACGCGACTTTCGGGAAATTCCAAATAATCGCGAAAAACAATTTTATGAAACTTTTCGTTTACCATTTGATCGGCGTCAAACTCATTTTGAAAGATCTATATTTGAATTCATTTGGGGATGTTTATTATTTCCAAGGAAAAATCACTTGAGATGTGTTTCAAACTTTTCACAGAATCCAAGCTGATTTGGTGAAAAATGCGATCCATGATGGGCAAAGTTTTAAATTTTGCCCGATTTAAGTCAAACTTATTTTTAAAGCTCTACGTAAGGACTTAAGGAATACGTGATTCAGCGATTTGTGGAAATTCCACCCGCAACAGTGGTAAAACTGTTGTATGAGAACTTTTTATTTACCGTCCGATCGGTTTCAAACACATTTATAGAGATCTTTGAGAGAATTATTTTATGCGTGCCGCAGAAAAGAACGGGGTATACCCGCTAGCAAATATGCTGGAATAACCATCGCTTTCATTTCTTCCATTGAGATACTTTTGAAATATATGCAGGCCTCTCACATAGCTGATAAATAAATGTATGCTTAGAAGAATAAGTTATCGCCTGGAAGTTACATTTGGGATAGCAAGAAAGTTTTAGTGTGTCTAGATCTAGCTCTTTTGATATAATCAAAATTTAGCTTAGATTTCTTTATCAGTATCTATGCTTCAAATTTATTAATGGATATTAATAGTTCTATAGAGAGTATCTAGGTTTCGTAATAAGTTAAATATATTACTTTGGTATTTATTTATATTTATATTTTTGCATTTGTCAATGCATTTGTTAGCTGTTGGCTTTATTGTGGTGCTGGGCAGGTCAATCAACGAGTTTCTATTTGCGTCAGCATTTATTTTTATATACATATATTTTAAATATTTGCCATCTATATAGTATATGTATTAATAGGTATGTATGAGCAGGCAATAGTTCGGCCAACAAGTTGAATGTGTCAGCAGCATGTGAGGTCGCTCAACAAATAAATCAGGAAAGAATAAATATATTTGGTAGGACTTCTTGGTTCAAGGCGCCTATGTTAGGAAAAATGAAGTAGTCGGGTCTTTAAGTCGACTAGGTTTTTCCTAGAAGTGCATGTCTTTGAATTATCAAACATTGCAAATTTATAGAGAAATATATATATATTTTTTTAAACAACTATTATGTGCATATGTAGAATTGTGTTGGGTAATTTCATATACATATATATATATGCCAATCAGTAGTGAGTGGAAATGAGGCATTAGACATGAGCTGCGATAACCTTTAGCCAAGTGTACACCCATCCGAAAAACATGTAGATGCATGGACTGTAAATACTTATATATTAATCATAATTCCAGAGAACCTAGAATCTATTTAGTGGCCACCCGCTCGATCGCTGAGCTCAGTTTAGTTTGGACAATCGAATTGAACGGAATGAAACGCGCGAATATTTTGCTGAGCTGCATCGGCTTTTGCCTATTGGCCCTGGAGGTAGGTCAGGTTGTACTTGGTAGACTCCAATGACGTCATCTTATTATCGCAGCCGGGCTGGGCGACGAGCAGCAGCAGCGGCAGCGATAACGGACCCAGCGTCGCAATCACCAGACAAGCCATTGAGCTGGGCCTGGAGCCATCGGCATTGGGGGAACTGTGGCGCACCAAGCAGCCGCTGATTATCAGCAAGCCGGACGCACTGGGTCAGCTGTATACGACGACTTACGAGCTTTCGCCGGATGGCCAACATATAACCAGCTCCACCGTCAAAGAGGATCAGCCACAGCTGCCGACAACCACGAGCACAAGCACAAGCACAAGCACCAGCACCAGCACAAGCACGGTCAGTCCGCCAGCTGCAGTGCAGCCAACGAATCCGCAGACAGACTGGGAATATGTGCCCTCTAATCGTCGCAACTTTGTGTTGGGCAACAGCTCGCCATTTGGCGCCAATTGGCCAGACTTTGGTAGCGCCTTTCCGCAATTTCACAGCAGCAGCGGCAACAAGTGGCCCAGCTTTGACTTTCCAGCGGGCATAGAACCACAAACAACCACCAAAACGGAGAAGGACGATCAGGGACGCACAGTAACCACGACGATCAAGACCTATAAGACACCTGCCAGCAATAGCTGGTCAACGGGCACGGATCTGTCAGCGAATTGGCCAAGCTTTGAGCTGCCAACGGGTGCGACACCACAAACGAGCACCAAAACGGAAATCGATGACCAGGGACGAACGGTGACCACCCTGACGAGAAGCTATAAGAGTCCCATTTTTACAACATGGTCAACGGGCAATGACAATGTCGGAGGTTTGCCCGCCAGCTGGCAGCCAGCCACCAATCCGTGGTTCCACAATCCTCACTTCGTTAATGGCATAGCAGCTGGTGATGTGCCCAGTTCTGCGAATCCCGTGCCCACTCCGCTGCCCTTGCCCACGCGACCAACTTTCATTCCCAGTCAGCCACCGCTGCCGACAGCACCGCCTGCAGTTGGGGTCTTCGAGCTGCGCACCACCACGCCGCTGCCTGCATTTGAGGATTTCCTTAAGCAGACGGGCGGCGAGTCGACGCCCCAGACTGTGGCCACCATCAACATTGACGAGCTGCCCGTGAGTACGAGAACACGGATAACCAACTATGGCGGCACCTTTAATGGCGCCGCACCACCGAAGGTGGCAGACCTCGAGCCACAGGTTAGGGATATGCTCAATCGCGGCGGTATCACCGACGAGGATATACAAAATGCCCAGGCGCTGGGCAACGATGTGACACGCACTCGTGTCCTGCCCGACGGACGGATTGTGAAGACGACGATGCGCGTGAACAATTGGAGGCCAGAAGCTGCTGCTGCTGCTGCTGCTGCTGCTGCTGCTGCACGTCCGCTGCAGCGTGATAATTCAATAGAAAACTTCCTGGCGCAGGTGAATCTAACGCCAGCGGATATACAGGCCCAAAACGGGGAGCTGATCAAGACAATTGTCGACCAACATGGACGCGTTCTCAGCGCCAGATTTGTGCTGAGCACCGTCAAGGGCGAAGAGCAGCCGGGTCAGGGTCTGGGACAGGCGGAGCATCCAACCAAATAAAATGCGTAATGCGGAAAAGGAAAACTAAGTTAAGTCAATTGATGAAACGTTTGTATGCACGTACATCTATCTATACATCTATGTGTACGTCTACGTCGCATAAATATAAATGGAAAAATTGTGAAAAATTTATAAATAAATGTGTACACATAAACTTGTATCAATAAATGCTTATCAGTGCGGGTTATGCCCAACAGATTTAATTGTAGAGCTTGTCAGAAATCTCTATACACACAATGAAGAATGATGTGATCATTCGGAGATACCCTGTAGCCAGGTCTCATATATGCAAAGGTTTAAAACATTATATCGTACAACAAGTCAGTAATGCCCATGAAAACAATGAAGAAGGATGTCATGATTGGGAGATACCCTGTAGTCAGGTCTCGCATATGTAGACAGTGTTTCGCAAAGGTCAAGAACGGTATATCGTATAGCAAGTAAAAATGTCTGTTTAAACAATGAGGAATGACGTGGTATAGATTGCTTAACTAGGAGATACCCTGTAGCCAGTTGTCATAAATGTAGACAGTGTTTCGCAAATGAAAAACATTATAGCGTAGCGCAAGTCAGAAATGTCTATGACAACAATGCGGAACACTTGATATAGATTTCTTGACTAGCAAATACCCTGTATCAGAGTGTCATATATACTAATGCATATGTTAAACACAGTTTCGGAAAGGTAAAAAACGAAATATCGTAGAGCAAGTCAGAATTTTCAATAAAATCAGTGAAGAATTAAGGGGTATAAATTGCTTGTCTAGCAGATACCCTGTAGTCAGGTCTCTTATATGTAGACAGTGTTCGCAAAGGTAAAAAACACTATATCGTATAAGAAGTCCTAAATGCCTATAAAAACAATGAAGAATGACTTGGTATAGGTTTTTGACTAGGATATACCCTGTAGTCAGATCTCATATATGTAGACAGTGTTTCGCAAAGGTCAAGAACGATATATCGTAGAGTAAGTCAAGTTATAGACAAAACAACAATGAGGAAGACGTGGAATAGATTTTTTGTCTATATATATGTATTTTATATAGTAAAGCATGTTATAGACAGTTTCGGAAAGGTAAAAAAGGATATACCCTTTGTTTCTGCCTAATATATATATATATATTCTAATGCATATGTTATACACAGTTTCAGAGATGTAAAACTTGATTAATAATTGATCTTTAATAATTTAATAATTTATTCGGTGTGAGGTTTGAATCCCGAAATGCTTGAGATGCGTTTATTAATGCGGACAGACGTGGACGCGGCTGATGACGCCTTTTAAATTTTTTGCAAAACCTTCAGTAGTATTTGGGAATATATCACGTTAATAGATTAATAAAATCCACTTTGATTATAATCAAAAAGAGCTTAATTTTTGATTTGTCTTTAAAATCAATTTAAAATAAATTTGATCAGCCGACACATTTTTTGTTGTTAAATAAATCGATAAGTAAAGAGGATTTCAGAAGTTTTTTGTACAGGCAAAAATTATTATAAATAAATATGTATAAATATTATTAGAAAATCTTTTTACTAAATGTATACTTACCGCAGCTGAAAATACCTGTGGCTAAAAGTATGCAACTACTAAGCAGACTAAAATAAACTAAGCGCTTGATATTTTAATGTTAATAGGCATTTGAATTTATTAGACATCTCTTTTGTCAAAAAATGCCAAAGAGAGATATGTTTTGTGCAAAAATAAAAAAGCATTAAATTTTGCGTTTAACTAATTTATTACAACAATTCTTTTTTTTAATAACTGAGCTGGAAAATATGAAACAAAAAGAGAAAGAAAAATAAAGGGAAATCAAATCAAATAAAATGCAATTCAACAAAAATAACAATAAAATACTAAATAAACATTATAAAACATGTTTACAGCGTTATTAAAGCGAAAACATAAATTGCAGCAAATAATTCAAGCATTAAGAGATCAAATATTAAATTAAAATAAAAAAATAAAAATAAATTAATTGAAATTCAATTTGAACTCCAAAAAAAAAGCATTTAAATAAATATAAGTATAAAAAAACTATTGCGTAATTTTGTGCGTCGCGCAAAGCGCACGCATTTGTTGTGGCCGAAATTGTTGTTGTTGTTGTAGTCGTGTTTTTTTTTTTTTTTTGGTATTTTCTTTTTGAAGCATAATTCTGTCTCGCTCTCATTATCTCATTTACAGTGCGATAGATGCGTAAGATTCATAAGCCAAAAGCATGTCAGAGAAAAAAGAAACTAAATTAGTTAAAAATTTGTTGTTGTTCAAATGTGAATAGCACAAAAACGGCTTAGATAGTAAATTTTGTAAATATGTGGTAAATAATATACGTATGTATTAAAACTTGTACATAAGCGTCAAAAATATCTTCGAAGCTGCCGAAGTTTTAATACCCTTGCAGCAGTCATACAAATAGCATAAAAGCTTCAAATTACTCACTCACTCGTTTCGCTCTCTTTCGCGCTCTGACAAAAACTGCATATCACATATTTCAGCAGCTATTATTACATGTTAACGGATGAAATTCGGACATAAGATCAATACACATATTATTAATGCATACATGGCTCTCGTTATGTTTAGTTTACTTTACAAAATAAACGTTTTAATATACACCCGCGAACTAGACGACAGATGTTAAGAGGAAACGCGCACAAACTAGTTCATCTCATTACGCTGCCGCCTACGCTAAGCCGGCATTCCCACTAACAACTTGGAGCCCTATTCACAATGTTCGCTTTATAAGCTCACTCTCTCTCTCTATCTCTCTCAGCATAGCTATTGCAACGGGATCAAAAGCAACAGCGCAAATGTCGTGTAAAATAAATTATCTTCCACACGCCCCTCATCCACAATGTCCCTTATGGGGATGAACGCTTTGCTACTGAAACTCCCACACGCACTTCTGTTTACCTGCATACATGTTATTCTTTCAATTGCGCCTTACTTTTATCCTAGTATTATTCGGACTTGCCTGGCTCACATTTTATTTAAGAAATTTAAACGGATAGACAAAATACATATTCGAATTACACGGCACAAACTGATTTGCTATTCAGGCTCGTATTACTCGTATTAACCGATTTGAAGAGCAATCGCGCACAAGCTAAAACATCTTATAAAACTCTCTCTCTCACAACTAATAAAACTCCCTCTCTCCCACCATCCACAATAGTTCCTTACCTAAGCAAGCACTCTTGTTCTCTCTCTCTCTCATAGCTTATACAACGGGATCAAAAGCATCAGCACGTATCATCTACACTGCTTGCTCTGCACTCTGAGTATAGGAAGAGTGATCAAAGGTAATATCGCAAATGGCGGTTAATAAGCCTGCTCCCCCTCCAAAATGTTCACTCTGCGGATGAACGTTTTCTACAAGTGCTCTGATTCGTGCTTTGCGTCTTTCTGCTCTTTGATTGATATTTAATGTGTATATATATGTACATTTATACCAATATGAAATTTAGCTCTGCAAGGGTATAGAAAAAAGGTTACGCTAAAGGCGTTCAACTAATTAAAAAGCGTTGCCTACGAGTACTTTAAAAATGCGCTCGCAAATAACAACAAAGCAGATATACAAAAATGAATAGTAAAAACGGTTACAAAGGGCATAAATATTTGAATTTTTTTTTTTTTTTTTTTTGCATATTTTATTTTGCTTGATTCAGCAGATTGCATTGTTGTATGGGACGCAACAATGGGAGAGTAAAAATGTTATTAATAAATATTGAAATGCGCCAAAGGCATTTAAATTTAATAAAAATTTAATATAAAACGAGAAAAAATTGCAAATTGAATTTGATGTAGAACAAAACGAATTTGTAACTGTTGTTTTTGGTAAAAAGTGCGTTAACAATATTATAATTGAAACGGAAAACAATGGAGCGTGGGTGAATGTGTGTAGAAATGGATATTAAACTTTAATAATAATGATAATATAAAATAATTAGTGTATATAATAATAATATTAATAATTTAATAATCATAAAAAATTGTGAAAAATGTAAATAAATTGAACAACTAATTTTATGAGCTCCATTTGGGCTAACGAGATCATAAATCAGTTCTTCTATTGCAAAGATATGTGCACAATCTGCTTTCTCTTATACATCTCAAGGGTATATATTAAATTTATAAGTGAAGTTATGAAAAGAGAAGAATTGAATCTGATTGTGCTTTGTATAAGAGATCATTTAGCATATTAAGGGACTGTTGTATGTATTGTAATACAAACTCGTAACAGTAACTGTTAATACTACTAATGGTACTTATAAATCAGCTCTTATATTTTCTTGTATTCTGCACTTTATCTCTCTTATACGTCTATGGGGCAGAGATGTTGCAAAGTTGTCTCTGTCCTCTTTCTTGCTCTTAAACATCTAAAGTGTATATTTAAAATCTTTACTCACCAGATTATCGAAGCGCAGTGCATCCTCGTCGCTCAATCCCATGCTGCGTGTGAGCTGCAGATATGTGGATGTAATTGGCTTCAGGCGCTCCAAGTCGAGCGGCGGCAGCGGCTGCGGCAGCTGCTCTAACGGCGCCGAGGCGCCGCGCAGCAGCAGCTGCGGTATGCGCAGATCCGTGGGCAGCGTCTTGGGTGGACTGGGCAGCTCCAGCTTGAGCGGAGCGGCAGCCAGGGGCGTTGAGGTGGATGCGGGCTGTCCGTTTCTGGAGCTGGAAAGAGAAGATTTGGTTAGATTTATGGGCGTATGGGGCGCTGCGGCTGCAGCGGACGAGGCGGACGGGGCGGACGGGGCGGACGGGGCGGGCGTGGCAATCGGTGAGCGTGCACAAGGAGTCGAGCCCAACGGGGAGGAGCTGCTGGCCGTCGCAGCAGACGCTGTCTTGGCAACTGTGCTGCAGCCCGTGCTGCTCATTGGATAGCTGAGGCTCTGCAGCAGGCTGCTGCCGTAGAGGGGCGGAGCTAAAACCGGTTGATCGAGCAGCGAACCGCTGCCGCCGGCATAGAAGCGTCTCATGAAATCGTAATAGCGGACCAGATTATCCGGCGACTTGAGCAGCTGCAAATCGAAGCCCGGCAGCTGTGTGGTGGTGGGGGGAACTGGTTGGGGCTGTGGAGCCGCCGGCTCCGATGGCGGACTGAACAGACGCTGTAGCTGGCTCTTGACTCGTATCTTGGGCACGTCCACCGTTGACGCCTCGCCAGCCGCCTCGCCCGCCGCCTCAGCGTGCATAGTGGGACTTGGTGGAGCAATTGCATCCAGCTGCGTGGCACTGGCGCTGCTGGCAACCGAGCTGGCGGCCAGCGGTGCCACGGTTGGCTTAAGATCGGCGCTGGAGTGACGCCGCCGCTTGGCCGTGGGGCCCGCCTCCAAGGAGCTTTCCGTGTGCGATGAATAATTCAAATAGGTCTCCAATTCCGAGGAGCTCTCGTTGCCGGCTAGCTCCTCCTTAAAGCCTGTCGAAGGCGAGGAGGGTCGCAGGTTCTTCTTGCACTCCGGGCAGATGGTCAGAAAGCGCGTGACAGCCTCGCGGGGCAGAAATGCATAGGTCTCGGTTATCTATAAGGGTTCGAGAAGGCGAGAGCAGAGATAAAAGACAGATTAATATTAATAATTATAATAAAAATAATAATAATAATGCTAATAATAATGAAAAGAAATAAATAATAATTATAATAAAAGTAACAATATTAATAAAAAAAATAATAATAATTATGATAATAATAATAATATTAATAATAATAATAATAATAATAATAATAATAATAATAATAATAATAATAATAATAATAATAATAATAATAATAATAATAATAATATGTATAATATAAAATTAATTGTTTTCAATTTAAACTGCTTATTTCAATTATTATAAATATTTATAATATTATATATAAAGGTTCATGATTTGGAACATAATAAAAAAAAAAAACTATATTAAAAAAAGAAAATGTCAGGTAAGGATATAACTTATTAAAAGTTATGGAATTTTCAGCACTTCTTAGGAAACCTGTGACTGCCATCTCAACAAAATAAGAGTAAAATTCTTGGAAGGATATGTAATGCTCCTTACTATTTGCGTGCTAGGCATATCGAGAGAGACCAATGAGTTCCCAAAGTAGGAGATATAATCTTTCAGCATGCCAAAAGATACTCCCATCCCAACCCTCTAGCAATGCGCCTAGCTTCTCTACGAAGAACTACTACTAATACTAATAATAATAATAATAATAATAATAATAATAATAATAATAATTATAATATAAAAATAATAATAATAATAATAATAGTAATAGTAATAAAATAATCAGCAGGAAACTTTTCGCTTTATAGCCTTAACCTTATGTTAATAAAAAAATTTATATATAAGTACATAAGAAAAAAATAGAAAAAAAATAGTGGGAAACCTATTTTACTTTCCACAAAAGTTAAGCATACATTTAATAATTGTTTGTAATATAAGGATAACCTCAAGGGTTTCTCAAAGGTTTCCTTGTAACCTTGTTCTAGTTAAATGATTCATACGCTACACTCACAATGCGATAGGTGCGTTTCTGACCCGCGTGCATGCCGCTGCGTCCGCCCAGCTCCATGTGCACGTTGAAGATGATGTCGAAGAACTCCTCGACGCAGGCCACCTTCCGATAGATGCGACGGCCGAAATCTTTGCTTTTCGAGGCAGCAAACAGATCAACGGCACCGGGATTATCCGAGAGCACAGCCGTCGCGGACAAGGGTTCAAGGCGGCGTCGGCTGCCGGGCGCCTCCTCGAAGCCGTCGGGTCGGTTGGTCGTAAAGCCTGCCGAGTAGCGAGAGCAAGTGGGTCAGGCATTAAGCCGGGCCAGTTTTGGGCGCTTTTCACTTACCCTTGGTCTTCACCCAGAAGCGAAACTTGGAGCTATCGGGACGACTGTGCTCCTTGCCCTCGAGCGCTTTCAGGATGCGCGCCTTCTTGCGCAACGTTATCGTCTTGGTCTTTGCCTGATCCCCGTAGGTCTTAAGGGCCCAGGGCTGGAACAGCTCGTAGATTACCTCACGTTCGCTGGCCAATTTGCTCAGCGACAGCGGGCCACTCAACGGCTGCTCCAGTTCCTCGACATCCGCATCATATGCCGCCTCCGGCTCAGGCTTCGCTCCGACCCCAGTCGGTGGGCAATGCTCCTCGTGCTCATCTATGGCGTAGAGCTTGCGCTTATTGCTGCAACTCTCTGCCGGGCCGAGCGAGGAGCACTCCCCGGGCGTTGCCTGCTCGAGGCTGTGCTTGCGATCGCCATTGGACTGATCCATGGGGCTGTCGAGCTCAACACGTTTTTATTGGCAAAACTTTCGATCAAGACAAAGGCCAAGCGATAAACGTGCGCATTGATTTCATATAAATTAATTTTGAATAGGTTTTTCAGAATTTTTTTCTAAGTTTTTGCTGTGCTGAAAACGATTCTCCGTTGTGTGGGATTTCATCGAGTGCGCTGCAAGTGGAAAAGTTTAAGAGAATTGGAAACCCTTAAAGGAAAATCTGTGTAAATAAAAAAATAAGCGCGTTGCGTACGCCAAATGCCTAAACTATCATGAATTTGAAGAGGTTTTTTGTAATGGGCGATTATTTAAAATGAAGAACGAGATTATAAAATTTAAATTTAAATTGAAAAGTTGTCAGATAATGTTTAAGAGTGCGAGTATATATATATATATATATATATTTTGTTTATAATATAACCTACTCTTGAAGGTTTCGTCAGAAAGTAAGAATATGCTTGAAGGTAACCTATTTAATTTTAATTTAAAGAAGACCAAATTTGAATTGTCTTTTGCAAATATTAAGGTGTTCGTAGAACCAAGCTTTAAACTTGGTTCTTGAAATTCTAAAGCATAGATATTCCCTTAAACCACGCACTCAGCCGCAATTATTTTTTTTATATGAGGTGTTTAGGCCTTGACGAACACAAATTTCTATTCACAACACATTTAGTGTACAATTATTTAAATTTTTATTAACATATTTGTAGTTAATCCTTTGCCTTTGCACTTTGCACTTACGTTTAATTTCGTATAGTTTAAGTAATGTTTAATGAAAATTTTTCAAAAATTATAACAGAAACATAAATTGGCAACGAAAACAAATGTAAATTTTATAACAATATTTGAAATGAACAGAAATCCGACATTAACGAAAGAACAGAAATATAAAACGACCAAATTAATACAAAAAATAAAAACAAACTCGACGAATTTTCGTCTTTAACAGCAACAACAACAAAGCCAAAAAAGTAACGCGACGCGACGCGACCGAAATGAAGGTTCAAACTCAACTGATCAGCTTTGGGCCAGATGGAAGCCCATATTCTCAAGGATGCTGAGGTTCAGTTTACCGGGGTCCAGGGTCCAGTCGAAGACAGGCTGCGACCGGCTGCAAACCGGTTCAACGCTTGACCGCTCATCTCTGAACTGCCCAAGTCAAGTTAATGAAGGCTGCAGACATAAAAAAATACAGCCAAGAAAAGGGGTAGCTCTCACATCTTAGACCCAATACAGGGTATACGCCTCGTGCATAGATAACCCTTGTGCCTACCTCAATAATTGCGCAATTGTAGGCTGGGCCGGGCCACAAATCCCGTGAGGACACAATGCAAAACGTCTTTTGCGCTTTTTAAGAAATACCAAACCTCCCCTACTCACGCTCTCTGTCTCTCTCTCTCTCTTTCTCTCTCACACTCTCTCTGTCGCACTTCAACCCACCCCTTGCACAGCATATTTTGCATTTTTCTTAGCATACTTTTTGGCGGCACGGTGAGAGTTTCTCACATTTCGTCGTTGGTCTCTTACACATATTTTGCGCTCTTTTTTCTCAGACGCCCCCGCACATGTTGGGCCACTTAGACGCCCACCCCGCCCACACGTTGGCGCGCCTGTTGCGCCTTTTTTAGCCTTGAAGTATGCATTATTTTGTTTTGCTTTGTCTTTTCTTTTTTTGTTTTGTTTTGCTTTTGTTTGGCTTAGCCTGCGACGCGTCACATGTTGCGTCACACGCACAAAATGCCAATAAAACAAAAACAGCGACATTTTAATGGATATGTTGATGTTGTGGCGGCACATTGGCAATTTTATAAAGCACATGTCTAATTGGGTTAACCGAACTAATTACAGCTATTAAATCTTGGCACGTAGTTATAGCCCAGGACATATATAATACTTGAAGGGTTATTAAAACTTGTTGATAGCGCTGTTTTAAAAATATTATTGAAAGCGTTTTCGATATATATTTTCCCTCTTTTGTTATATTTCGGCAACATTATTTAATAGAGCACATTACGTATTCGAACATTTCGGTGACTTATTTATGTTCTCTTTTAAAATTAAAATATTTAGTGACATAATTAAAATGATCTCAGTTCTTACATAGAAATTACAGTGTATATCTCAGTTCTGATATGTGCTATATCTAGAAAATGAATAAATCTCTACAACTGTTAACTTGTGAAAAAATCAAACGAGTTCCTTTAGCGCTTTTGATCATCACCAATTAGATTATTGCCGAGCCTTAACAATTGCTTTAAATATAAATCTCAAATATATAAGTTTCTGCTCTAAAATATAATGCTAAGCCAATTCTTTTATATAGTTTGTGGTGCTCTATTTAAATTTATTATTTAAGGTATTAAATTAATATTTGTGCCCCGTTAATATTGACTTTAAAAACACCTGAAATTAATTTGTTGTTCCATCAATCTATAATATTTAAGAAAATCGATGCAAAAAATAATTTATAATATAATTTACATGGACACAATATTTTGCAATGTTTTTATTTTCTACTCACTTTTAGCGCATTCGAGATATTTTTGTTGCGCTGAAAAGTATGCTACATTTTTTGCGATGCTCATCTGGGGCTGGGACTCTGCCTTTTATTTGTTCTTGGGGTGAGTTGTGCTTGTTGTTGTTATCTCTTTAAGGGTTAGCTATTTGTTTTGATTACGCTTTGTATGTGCTGGAATTTCGCGTTGAAATCTTGACTGCTGATTGGTTGTCACTGTCCCAGTGCGAGCATCCCAAGGATGCCTACCCCCCTTACCGTGCGCCCCTACGGCGTCTTGTTTATGTGACTTCTGTCTGCAGCTCAGCATCTGACTGAACTGAGGTTCAACTTAATTGCTGGACCCGTTTAAAAACTGGATGTTTTTGCATAAAATCTTGTTGTTTCTACCGCCAAAATATGTGAGACCAACAAACGGTCAGTTCTTAAAGTTATTGTACTTTAACCGGTTTTCTGTAACGTTTCCTACCATATTTTTTCTTGCATAAGAATTATCTCAAAAACTGGCGCAAATTTCTGTAACGTTCATTTAAGTTGGACGTTAATAGCCAACAGCGGTCAGCGCTTTGATGGGATTAGGCTGACGAGGTGGAGCAGGTCAGATATCATTATGAATTGCTTAACAAGATAAAAAGTCTGCAGAGTTTGGACAGAGGTTTTGAAAAAGTATAAAAAACTGAGGAAATTGCACTTTAAGAGAGCTTTTCGTATGGCACAGACAAAAGTCAAAAGTTATTATTCTATTATTAATTTTATGTTTATTAATTAATTAACAAACGAAATAAATAAAATTAAACAAATAAAAGCAAATTCATCATAATGTATTTAATTTTTGATTATAATGACAAATGTGTTGCCCTTTATTTAAATGCTTTTTATTTAAGTGTGTTTTTTATTATAAATATTCGAGAATGGTTTATTTAGTTTCTTTCGCATAACCCCCTCGAATACCGAGTCATGTTCTCAATTTAAGGAGTATTTCACTTATATATATGTTATTTATCTTATTAATAAAATTACCTAACAATTGTTCGACTTTTGCAGATTTGTGAGAGAATAATAAAGCTCCAAAATACTTAAATAAATAAACAAAATTTAGAAAACTGAATACTTTGCCCTGCAAGAACCTTCTTCTCGAACTTCGTCAGGCACCATTATGAGCAGCATAGTTAAACCAATAAACCTCAAGTTTTCTCAAGAAATAAACTACTTCTTGACTGATAATTCTCTTAATAGAAATATGATATCCAGTTGTTTCTTACAAATGTACTGCCTGCAACAAATGTAAGGATCTATGCAAAAAGGCTTTAAAACTGAGAGTTCGCATAAAGACAGACAGATGGATGGACTCGGCTGTTGATGCTTATCTTGAATACATTTACTTTTTGGGCTCATTGGAGCTTCTTTCTATGCGGTACATATTTTATGACAAAATTATAATCCCTCTGCAAGTGTAGAATGAACCCCAATTGGGACCATCTTCTGCTATATTGCTCCAACTTAAATTGCTAAGTTGAATTGTTTTTTGTAATACAATTTAATAATATTTTTATGTTTTTGGTTGCTTGAAATTCTTGATCAATTCAAAAAAGTGCAAGGGACGGACCCTTCCATAAGCTATTTAAATTGAAAGCTGAACAATAAATATTTATGTGCCTTCAATACCAATCTAAGCCGAATACGACCTTATATTACATCAGAGTCACGTTTAGTTTTCTATCTCATGTGGCCACAGAAGCCGGTTAATCCTGGCTAAACAGGAGCCATTGCCAGCTCATTAAGGACTGCATCTAATCGTTTATGCATTGAAATTTGCAGTCAGTTGTGAAAAAATCAATGCATGTCTGAGTAATCGATGGATGCCGCCTAATGGAATATCTAAGCTAATAGGGCTGTCACGAAGGGGTCAGCAGTGTAGAGGACAGGGCATGGCAGGACACTCTGAAGGAGCGCCTTGGAGGATAATTAGTGCACAGCGACTTGGAGGCAAACAATGCAGCAGGCCGTTGGCCATTTGGTGAGCTAATGTTTGGCAGCAAGAAGACGTCTTTTGACATTTGGTTAGCAATTAGCCAACTGGCCAAATAGCATGAATAAATCGCTGGCTAAGTGGTTGAGGCGTTGCTCGGTCCAAGACGTTGCATTCAACGGGTTCTTGGTATGGATGCGACCACCAGCAGCAGCATCAGCGGCAGCATCAGCAGCAGCAGGACATTTGAGTATGGAACAAGTTTTGTTGGTTCTTTTGGAAAACTTTCTCACGCTCAGCAGCATCCGTGGCAGGACATGAAACTTTTATAAAAATCTGTTGAACTTTCACATCAAAATTTCAACAGATTTCAGCCCAGAACCAAGCAGACTCTGATCCATGGCTAGGCCGGTTTTTCAAACTGGACACAGCATCAGCACACGAAGATAGGTTGAACTTTGACACCCATTCCGGCCAAGATGCAACCCCATTTTTCGGTCAACCAGTTTTCAAGCTGGGTTCCGCCGCTGGTCACTCGGCGTTTTCACCATATTTTCTTCGGGGTTGGTTTTCAGATGCTGTCTCTTTGATCCGCAATCTTTTACTTGGCCCGCATGCTCTGTGGACAGCTTTGGCTCTATGAACATTCATTCTTCGTTTTTTTTTTTTTGTTA